GGTCTGAATGTTTGAATGCTTCTCTAGGCTTGTAAAGTTTTCTTCCACAATTTCATGAAATAGATTATCAATTACCTTATTAGTTTCTTCATCTTTTGGGATACCAATTATTCAGATGTTTAGGCATTTAATGGTATCTAGTACTTCTTAATTATTATCCTCTTTTTTTGCTATCTTTTTTCAATCTTTTTTGTGATTTTACTAGGTCAGAGGTTTTGTCTTCTACATCTAAGATTTAATCTTCCGCATGATCTAATTTACTTTTAATACTTTTGAGGGAGATTTGATTTTCTGTATTACAGCCTTCACCACTACTAGTTCTGTTGATTCTTTATGGTGCTGGGAAAACTGGGTATTCACCTGCAGAAAGATGAATCCGGACCCCTATTTGTCACCATTAATAAAAATAAACTCAAAGTGGATCAAAGATCTAAACCTAAGACATCAAACTATAAAATTACTGGTGGAAAACACAGGAAACTCTGGGAGACATTGGAGCAGGCAAAGACTTCTTAATTATGACCCCCAAAGCATAAGCAATAATCTCCAAAATAGACCAAGTGGTAGTACATCAGATTAAGAAGTTTTTACAAAGCAAAAGACACAGTAATCAGCATGAATCAATAACCCTTGGAATGGGAGAATATTTTTGTAAACTGTACCTCAGATAAAGGATTGATAGCCAAAATACCTAGGGAACTCAAGTGGCTTACCTGAAGAAAAAAAAAAAGATAACCTAATTAAAAGATTGGAAAATTAAGCTAAATAGACAACTCTCTAAGGAAGATATATGACCAGCCAAAAGGCATATAAAAAATGCTCAATATCCCTTTTCATAAGGGAGATGTAAATCAAAACCACAGTGACATACAACCTAACCCCAGTCAGAGTGGCTATGATTGAAAAAGTAAAAAATGAGAAATGCTGGTGAAGTTGTGATGAAACTCTCCTACACTGTTGGTGTGAATATACATTAGTCCAGTCACTGTAGAGAACAATATAGAGATTACTTGAAGACCTAAAAATATTGTAGAACTATCATATGATCCATCTATTCTACTCCTGGGAATCTAAAGGATAGGAAAATGCTCTGTCAGAAAAGTGCTTGCACATCTATGTTTACTGCAGCATTATTCACAACTGCTAAAACATGGAACCAACCCAAATGTCCACGAACAGATGAATGGATTGAAGAAGTATGATTCATATACTCTACGGAATACTACTCAGCCATAAAAAAAAAGATTCTGACATTTGATAGAAAGTGGATGAATATGAAAATTTTACTGTTGAGTGAAGCAAGTCAGGCTATGACAGAGACACTGTATGTATGCACTTAATATACATTGACTGTCCACACTCTGTGGCAGAAACTGAAAGATTAGGGGATATAGGAGCATGAAAAATTGTTATGGATATTGGAGCCAGTGTGGAAAGAGGGTGGGAGAAGGGGGAGAGTGTGAGAAAAGGACTCAAGGAGAAAAACAGAGAGGCAAGACATTTATGGGACACAGAAAGGGATTGTTGTCTGTGGATGGTAGCATGTATAGCACCTTTAACTGGACTGGTGTAAGGTGTTTTCATATTGGGTAATTCACTTTACATGCTAAGTGATATATAGTGATTGAATGTATAAAATAAAATAAATTTTTTAAAAGTGTGGCACATATACTCTATGGACTACTATTCAGCCATAAAAAACAGTGAGATCCTGGCATTTGGTAGAAAGCAGAAAAATATGGAAGATTTACTGCTAAGTTAAGCAAGGCAGACTATGAGAGAGGCATTGTATATCTCCACTCAATATATACCAAATGTCTGCACTCTCTGGCAAAAATTGGAAGATATAAAAACATGGAGAAGAATTGTGGATACTAGAGACAGTGTGGGAGGAGAGTGGGAAATGGGGGAGGGTGAGAGGAAGGGAATCAAGGGGAAAGAGAAGCAAAACATTTAAGGGACACAAAAATGGAAAATTATCTCTTGATAATACATATGATAATACCTTTGACTGGACTAATATGAAGTGTATGTATGCTGAGATAATTCATTATGCATGCTGTTATGAGATAAGTGATTGAGTGTGTAAACAAATAAAATATAAAAAATAAATAAACTTTCTGGAATTAAAAAAAAGAAAGCAAATTGAAACATTTGGAGATGAGCTATATGTTCAAAGGCATTGACATCCACACTTGAATTTGTTTAATAAATTGTTCAAAGCTGTTCTGAAAAACTGAACGATGCTTCCAGTTTGCATGATGTATTAAACTAAAGTAAAAAAGACTCTTGCAGTGGTTGCTGCTTAAAGCAGAGATGGGTGGAGAATGTCTCACAATGTATATAAAGAGTCTGAAGACAGCGCTAGGGAGGCAATGATAAACACATGGGGGTGGAATTCAGTGCAAGGTTAGAGTAAAAGCAAGATTGAGGTGGACAAAGTCAGAAGTCAGAAGTGGGTCAAAACCTCACTGGTGTTAAGAAATTAACTGGCAGAGGGTGCCCACTGTTGCTGTGACTCCAATGACCCCATAAATGGTACCATTGAATTTCCCAGGTTACCACTGCAACTAAAGTGGACTGAATCCTAATTGTATGATTCATCTTTCCTCCTCATCTTAAAGCAGTCAAGCCTGACTCTAACCAGCCCATAAGTGCTGAACAGCTGCTGACGCCAGGCCAACTCAGCTGCCTGCCTGGGGAAGGAGACGACAGGAACAGGCAATAGGATAAAGAACAACTACTTATGGGTTCAGGGATACGTAATCCTGAAGACGGAGTTTTAAAAAACAATTGCCAGAAGATGCATGTATACACCAGTTTTCCAGAGAGATAGCAAGAGAAAGAGAAAGTGGGAAAGTACATAGAGAAGGATCACACTGCACTTCCTTCCCTATTTTCCCCTTCTTTTGGGATTCTGGGCATGTGCACACATGCACCTGGCATGCTTCCTGAGCCACAAGGTCCAGGATGCAAATCATGCAGCTGGTCATGTGGGATCCAGCTTCCTCAACCACTATGCATGGGCAGGCCCAAGAAATAGTTTTTTATAAAAGAAATATTTGTCTACTTGGCAAAAATAGCCTTCCATTTTCTTAAAGAACATAACCTTAGTTTAGTCCTGACAACCAGTTTGGGAAGTGGTATTTGCTCACAGCAAAGAGGGGTTTTCTCATTTTCTCTCCCTCACACATACCTATTTTCAGGGGACAAAAGCAGCAGAGACAACTGTCTATAAAAGCACATGAATGAGAGTCAGTTGGGTACGACTGCATGTGAAAGGCAGAACAGAGCACGAATGGGTCAACCGTGAGCCATAGAATGGGAATGATGGCCAACTACCCAATAGCACATGAATCAGAGCCGACTACACAATGGCACATGAATGAGAGCCAACAAGATACAACAGTGCACGAATGAGGATCAACTATATACCATAGGGCATGAGTGAGAGCCATGTGTATACAACAGCATGTGAATGAGAGCCAATTACACAACAGCACGTGAATGACAGGCAATTGAATGGAACCACTGTACTGTGAGAGCCAGAGCCAACCACGTGTAATAGTACACGGAAGAGCTCACTGTAAGCACTGGCACGTGAATGCTAACTGTACATAACAGCATGTGGACAAGAGCTAAATGTGTGCAACAGCCTGTGAGTGACAGCCAACTGCATGCAATGGCAAAGGCATGAGCCAGCTGTACACAAAGGCACACAAACGAACTATGTCCAAGGACATGTGACCAAGAACAAATTATACACAACAGTGCATGGACAATCCTAGAGTGTTTTCTTATTAAACACATTAAGTGCACAATAAAGTATATTCATCAAAGTAATTTATCTTCATTAGAAAACAGTTAAATTTTCCAGTTAAATAATCTATTTATCTAATAATTGTATTTCAAAGATTTTCAACAGGGCTTGAAAAGATGAATACATTAATCCTTAGTTATCTCATTTTGGGTTTTATGGTTTCTGATCCTTTAATTAGGAAGACAGAAAGATCAATGTAGTAGAAAACCACATTATCTTGATATTCAAATTAATTAAGGTTTATAGTATATAGTTTCTTAGCTTATACTTACGAAAAATCATCTGAGAAAAATTTTACTTGAAAATTTAAAATTTTTCTTAAGGAAGTTGTAAAATGGTCAACTTCGAGGGAAAAACGGTCATTTCATTTTATTTTTTAAATTTGCCACAGAGCAAGTGGACTCACCAGAGACAGAAAGAGATAGACAGAGAGAAAGCATCCCCAGTGAGGTGTGCACATGCCACAATCCCCTCTCCTCCATTTCTCTATCTTGTCTGGATTTTGTACACATGTGCACACTGAGTCTGGGATCACACTGCAAAGTTGGCCATGTTGGATCCAGCAGCCTTAACCACCATACCACCCACCAGCCTCCATTTCACTTTTTTTTTTGGAGAGGTTTTTTTCACTATAGGGCATGTGCGCTCGCCAGACAGACAGAGAGAGACATAGAGACAGAAAACAAGAAATCACCCCCCGGGATGGATGGCCACGCCGCAATCCCTTCTCCTCCATTCTCCTCTCGGGATCTTGGGCATGCATGCACGCGCGCCTGGCATGAGTTTAAGCCACCAGGTCCGGGACGCGAACTGCGGTCGACTACATGGGAGTCCAGCGACACAGCCATTACGCTAACTGCTGGTCCCACAAAATGAATATTTCAATGGGTGAACATTTCTTCCTAGTACAGTTGATAAAATTATAAAATATCTTCAACAGATAATACCACATTTCTTTGTGTCATCAATACTTTGCCTCCCTATTTTTCTTCTAAATGTCTTTCCTCAGACCCTCCTCTTTCACACACACTATACCTGGTATTTACATCTATATACTGTGTTTCTATATCCTTTAGTCAATCAGTTTCAGTCATAGAGTGTGGACACTCGGTATATATTAAGTGGAGAATAATATTTATTTATAAAGATGTTCACTTTTCCTCCCACCCCAACTTTTTACCTTCTGTGTCATCCTCACTGGAGCTGTTTTCTGAATCTGTACAGCTGTTTGTCTCTGGCAAACAGGGAATGTATCCTTCAGGAGGTAAACTTACAGTATAGAGTCGTCTTTTGGACTGGAACTTTGTATCACTATCTGTAAGAAAAAAGGAAAATAACGTGAACTGGTAAATATTATATAATACGATGAGACATTTATTTGCCCTGATTATATCAGCATTGTTTCTTCAACTAAGCTCACTGAAGACATAAAATCAAGTAGCTCAATAAAGCCTAACCACTGTCCATAATACCAATTTTAATAAGCCTAGTATTTTGCTAGAAGAGTAAGTCAGTTATACATCTAGTCAGGGAAAAGCAATGATCTATCAATACAATTATTTAAATTCACATTCAGTTACTTATTATATAAACTTCTGGGTTTTCATAATATGATATAAAGACAGAACTAATTCATCAGTATAAAGTCAAAAATATAAATAGGCCATATAACATACCCCTATTATTACACCATCAATCTCTCATATTTTGGTGAATAGTGTTCTGGAATTTTCTCTGCATATGTGCTGACAGCCTGTCTACACTGTGTATACACAGACATACACAGATCCATGCATAGCTTCATGGGATCATGCCATGCATATTTTATTGTTACACATTTTTATAGGTTTACATTTATATCTTTTATATCGTATGATATCATTTAGTAAATGTATTATGATAAAAATAACATATTTAAGTCCTCATACTCTTTCAAAGGCTTCATAATATTCTGTGCTATGGGCAAATTATAATTGAAACAGTCTCCTGAATCTTGCATGCCGAGATTGACTTTAAATCATTACTATCATGAAGAGTTGCCATGACCTACTTTGGTACACACCCCTTCGCCCACTTGAGCTGTCTAGTTCTTTCAGATAAATTCCTGGAAGGGAATTGCTGGTTTGAAGGTGCACATGCTTTGTACTGGCTCTTCATATTATCACCTAGAAAGGCAATTGTAAGGGGCTCACTATTTCCCATACAGCCTTTTTTTTTTTTTTACTCTTCAACACTGGAGAATATCAATCTTTTTAACATTCGTCTTTTCATATGAAATGTGGCAAATATTGTTACTGCACGTGATGAACACAGGTGGATAGCCTAAGGAACCCTCATGAATAGCAAGCACTTTATTTTATAAACAATGACAAACACTGAATGAATCACTACTACTATATGATAGAATGCGTGACTTTAAGATATTTAAATGTGAGGATATTAAATGTAAAAACCTTGAAACATTTTCCAATTCTTTTGCCGCCAATATATTTTACTTTCTTGAAGCTAGGGTGCCAGAATTCTAGTTCTCACGTTAATTTGATTCACCACAGTTGATTAATTACCATGTCATTCCCTGCTAGAATTGAGGGCAGATGGAGACAGGCTTCTAAGTATACTATCCCCTATCGGGTAACATCAACATTTGATCATTTTTCAGAGAATATTTTTGGAAGCTTTTAATCAGCTAAATCTTTCTTAATAAGAAAGTTAAATAGAACTTAGAAATGTCATTGTTCACTTAATTATTAGGATGAATATAGGAGGTATTAAAGGAGCAAAGCACGCAATGACTCATACGATGGAAAATAATGACACATCGAAGAAAAAGAATTCCGAATGTAACATGCCACAGAGACAATTCCCATCCGTTAAGAAACCACACACTGACTTTAAGGCTGGATCTTCAAGCTATAAATGACAATACTGTGAAGTCAAAAATATCAAGTGCAGGTAGTAGAATATTGCCTTCAGCCTCAGTCTGCTCGTCTGTAAACTAAGTAATCTAGAATAGCTGGCCCTAATTTTTGGTATTCTTTGTGGTAAGAGAGACTTTGCAGCAATGCCATATGCTCCTTGTGTAAGGCAGGTATTACATTCCTTGCTCAGGTATTAACAAGAAAGGGATCAGTTATGCTTTGCTGAGAGGCCACATCCCATTGTCTTTATCTGACATAAAGAGGGCACAGCACTTATGAGCACAGCCCCTCAGTGACCTTTAATCTCCCAGAGTAATAGTTAGAGGCATAGAAATGACAGGTTGGTATCCCACCTCCTGTTGATGAAAGTTGTAAGCACACCCTTAGAAAAAAAAGAAGAGCTGGCCCCAAGTGTGAGAAGAGATAGGATCTGATGAGCTCTTTGGTTATTTTGATTAGCAGGACTCTGTCACTCAGGCTTGATCTACTCCTTCAGTCTCATTTGGAGCTGCAATCCACAGGTTGTACCCCTTCCACCGAGCTCACGCATCATCAACTTGTCTTCCTTTCCAGCCTGGGGCTCTCCATTACAATCACTCCTCTGCATGCTCCTGTCCCCTCTGCTGTGTTCACCTGCTAAAATATATTTCTTTTTGGAGAGGTTTTTTACTATCAGGCATGTGTGCTTGCCAGAAAGACAGAGAGAGACAGAGAGACAGAAAGTGAGAAATCACCCCCGGGGGGATGGCGACACCACAATTCCTTCTCTCCCATTCTCCTCTTGGGATCTTGGGCACGCACGCATACACATGCACCTGGTGTGCGTTTAAGCCACCGGGTCCGGGACTAGAACTGTGATCGACTACATAGGAGTCCTGCAACAAGGACTCTGTCACTCAGGCTTGATCTACTCCTTCAGTCTCATTTGGAGCTGCAATCCACAGGTTGTACCCCTTCCACCGAGCTCACGCATCATCAACTTGTCTTCCTTTCCAGCCTGGGGCTCTCCATTACAATCACTCCTCTGCATGCTCCTGTCCCCTCTGCTGTGTTCACCTGCTAAAATATATTTCTTTTTGGAGAGGTTTTTTACTATCAGGCATGTGTGCTTGCCAGAAAGACAGAGAGAGACAGAGAGACAGAAAGTGAGAAATCACCCCCGGGGGGATGGCGACACCACAATTCCTTCTCTCCCATTCTCCTCTTGGGATCTTGGGCACGCACGCATACACATGCACCTGGTGTGCGTTTAAGCCACCGGGTCCGGGACTAGAACTGTGATCGACTACATAGGAGTCCTGCAACATAGCCATTATGCCAACTGCTGGCCCCTCACCTGCTAAAATTTAAATGCTGGTTGTTATTGAGTCCTCTCCACCGTTAGGCTGCTTCTGGGCAGCAGGGGCTACAGAGAAGCTCATAGCCATGAACTGTGCTCACATCAAGTGCAAAACACATTCTCTTCTTTGCTCTTCAAAAAGGTATTTCAAAGTTCCTCCTCTCTCTCCCCATGGCCCTTGCTTGGTTCATCGTGAAAATCAAAGAAATCAGAGGAGAGTTTCACAGGCATCTACCTACCACACAGCTGTGACTGGAACCTTCATCAGACATGGTATCCCTCAAACTCTACCCTCCTGCCCCCGTCAAGATCATCTCTCTTCCTCCTGACTCATCAGAGACATCTATTTGGCAACTCTTCTCTCTCTTCCTCCCTTTTCCCTTCTTTCTCCATCCTCACCCTCGGTCTTCTTTTCCGTTTCTCTCTCTTCCCACTAATTTGCTCCTTTGATGACAACCTTCAACTCCCTTCTTTCAAATCCTCCAGGAGGGTCTCTTGTCATGGCCATGGTGGCTTCCACTCTTGCTAAACCCACAACAATGATTACTTCTTTATCATGGTCAGCAGTGTTTATTAATTTCTGCCTTCACCGCTCATTCCAACATCCTACCCTCCATGCCCAGGTCCCCTTTTGTTTTTGCTAAAACACACTCTTGATTATTCTCTCAGTGAGAGTCTGGAGGAGGAAAAATCCCTTATGCTTTGTAGCAAGTGACACTGTGGTTGGTCTCTGAATATTTTACTTTAATTAAGATAAATTTAAATTTACATACCAATGAGAACAGTGAGTATTAAAATTAGAACTACAGGTCAACAATTAAACTTCGTGGGCATGTGGGAAGACACAGGTGGCCTGTCCTGCTGTCTCAGTCTGAGTTAGGATCTGTCATCAGGGCTGACGGGCCTATCCTGCCACCTCACTCTGAGTTAGTATCTCACTATCACCTGGGCTGGGTGGCCTATCCTGCCACCCCATTCTAAGATAGGATCCCACTGTCACCTGGGCTAAGTGGACTATCCTATCACCTTACTCTCAGTTAGGGTCTTACTATAACCTTGGCCCAGGTGGTTGCTCCTGCTACCCTCATGCCCCACCCAGCCCCACTGCCTTCCTTCATTATATCCAGTCTACCATGTTCTTTCTGACCTTAAGGAATGGCATCCCAGTGCTTCTGTGGGAAATGCTCTTCATCGGGACATTTCTCATCCTATCGGTTCAGCTCCTCATCTTTCCCCTCAGTGGTCTTCCTATCAAAACTCATCCCTGTGACCCTTCTTCCATGCCCCATCTCACGGTTTTTTTCTAACTAGCAGGTACTCTGGAAATGTCTGCACCTTACCATACACTGGGTACTATTTTGTTTATACATATATATATATTTGCAGTTATTTATTTGTTCAAAGGTTTATCATGTGTCAAACTAGCATGAGCTCAATGTTGGCAGAAAGTGTCTATTTGGCTCATCTACAATCAGCAATTGTCATCTAAATGTTTACTGAGTAAATCAATGACTGATTGATTATTCCAAGTATTGCTTCTATTACACTGTGCTAGACCAGAGACAACAGGTCTGGAGGACTTTCAAAGCTCAAGCTCAACTGCTCCGAGTTTATAAAACCAGGATCTGAAGCATCATTTGGGGAAGGCAAAAACAGCTGTGTGGCCAAAGATAAGTCCAAGCTCTACAGTCACATCTGGGTTAGGGCCCGCATTAATCCTAACTAGGCTTGCAGACTGCCTGAGGACTTGATGACATGGTGCGTGTAGGCACATGGCCCAGCACTGACCATGGCATGCTCATCTGGAGTCAGGAACAATGGGAGAAGCAGCACCACAGTGGAATGAAATTCTGGGGGACTCTCACTGCTAAAACTGCTGGGAGCCAGTTCAGAGTGGCATTCCTAGAGAGATGTGATGCTTACATTGACACACAGAGCCATGACAATGACATGACCTGACAGACTCTGAGTAGGAGGAGAAACACCATCTCCATGGGACAGACTAACTGTCCCAAAGGTATCAGTGGTTCCCAAAGTGAATAAGATTAAATACAATTC